GAGGTGGGGGCGGTTCTGGGGCAATAACAAAATGAAAGCCATTTCCTGGTCCTTTTCATTTTTATTATGTAATGACTGTTGTTTCAGAAAGTGATATTAAGTAATTTATTTTAAATTTCTATTAAAATAACCTCAAATAATAGGCCTGCCTTGACAACTGATCACTGAGTGTCATTCGTAAATGATACTGATTTGCACTGCCATAATCGTATTTGAGTTTCACACATTTTACGTCATTGGAGGGAAGCGGGCTCAGACACACACTTTCTTGCATGGAACTTGAGATCAAGTGGAGAGAACTTATGTAAGAAGCTCTTTCATCTGAACCACAGAAATATAGATAGACCTTTAATTCATGACTTTAGTTTTTCCTGGTAAAGATAGAGCTACTATACTTACTTACGTTTATATATGTGGTAAAAGCCTTGTAAATAAAAACAGAAATAAACTTTCCCGTGGAGATAAATTAGAAACAAATGTCTAGAAATTGGCATTTTTCTATCTTTCTCCTGTGAATTACATTTTGACCACAGCAGTTGCTGATTTCTAATACTGTAATTTGAAGCCTCTAACTATTGTAAGTGTTTTCAGAGCCTTGAAGATAACAGGCATGTGCTGCAGTTTGCTCTCCTGTTAAGTTCTTTTGGAAGCCAAATGAATTAGACGCCAGTTTGCTCATGGGCATCACCTTCTTCCAGCTGCCCTGCATTTCTCACTTTTTTTTTTTTTTTCTAAAGAGACAGGGTCTCGCTCTGTTACTCGGGCTGGAGTGCAGTGGCGTGACCATTGTTCACCACAGCCTTGAACTCCTGGGCCCAGAGATCCTCCCACCTCAGCCTCCCAAAATGCTGGGATTGCAGGTGTGAGCCACTGTGCACGGCTCTCGCTTTATCGAATGTGGACCAGAGGCTGGTGCTGCCTGTGGGCCAGCACTGTGGGTTCCACCTGGCAGCCCTGCGGTCTGAGCACACCTGTGACTTCTGCTGCCCAGCAGGTGCATGGCAGAGCATTGCAAAAATCCCTACCTAATTTTACCTCAAACATCAATGTCTACAGGTGTGAGCCCAGCTAATTGGGAGGCTAAGGTGTGAGGATGGCTTGAGCCCACAAGTTCAAGGTTATAGTGAGCAACAATTGCACCGCTACACCCCAGACTGGAGAACAGAGTGAGACCCTCTCTCTTAAAAAAAAATCAATATGAAGTCAACAGGAGCAGGCTTGTCTCTGACCCAGAAGTAATTAGAAAAACAAACGAACTGAAAGAGCCTGCAGCAGTTCTCAGTTTATTGTGCTCCTTTGGAAAAAGGTGATAAATTCTTGGTCAGAATATATTAATATCTCCTAATCTTGTTTTGCGTCACACAAAACGTAACAAATATGTGTGTATAACTCTGGGGTTCAGATGTTGCTACTAATTGTATTGTGAGCCGCTTTGGTCATGAAATTATCTTAAATTTTTATCTCAATATTCTCCCTTCCCATCTGTTCTCCCCTTTGAAAGGCAGTTTTCTATGACGCTATAACTTAAAGTAAGGCATTTTAAACTGCAAGTCTTCTGTCTTAAATTTTGTCCATGTTTTAAGAGAAAGCTATGGTTTTATTTTGTCTTTCAGGGTCTGTTTTGCGGGATGAAGCCTCAAGGCTGGGGGTTCCGGTGGGAGTTCTGTCGGCCAGGGTGGTGGCCTCCAGCATGGAGCAGATCTGCACAGCTGTAGCAGAGGCCGGTCCCTCTGCCGCGCTGGCTCCGGAACAGAGAGTAAGATGCCAGCGAGACGAGGAAACGAGCTAACTGTTATGTTTACGCTGGTTCCTTTAATAGTGTTTTAGGCAACTTGCCTGGTTTTTATAAGACTTAATCTTTTTTCAGAAGAAACTGTCTTCCTTGTTGGAGACTGCTCAGCACTTATTGGCACACGGTATGTTCTCCCGTCTCATCTTCTGTCAAGAATTGTGGAAAGTGCAGGTAAGTTTGAGGTTGTAATTCTGCCTCTCCAGTGTTTCCAAGTGGTATTCTGTTGACGTGGTTGGAGCCAGCAAAATCTCTAGTTTTCTTAGGAATTCCACTGAGCTTCTCATTAGTGACAGTGAAAAGAAAAGGGTTCGGCAAAGCCTCTGTTGGGGGGACAGGCCACCTACAGTCACAAGTTGTCCCTGCGCACCCCTCATTAGTGGTGTTCATTAGGATAGAATACACCACAAAACATGCTGCTCTGCCTTGAGTATATGATTGTAAAGAGTTTATCAGAACATTAAACTATAAAAATATAACTTAAAAATTATCCTTAACTGCTCATTTCTGAAGCATTTTGAACTTAGTATACTTACAGACTTTTGAAGAGTTGAAAGAACTCAAAGTAACCACTTGGTAGCACGTATATAGAAAGAGGAAAGAAAAAACGAAGGTGATTGTTCATTTTTTCCCCATTCTTTTGTCCAGTGTACATCATAGAGTTCATTTGATTTGTCAGGCGTTGTTGTGGTTCCGCACTCAGCGCTCTCAAGCGTGGAAAAGGGCCACTCAGTGTGTGTGAATTGCAAAGATGAACGTGCACATCAGAGCGGAGAGTCGGGAGTGTGGGGAGGAGTGGGAGTTAGCGGGACAGGAGGGCAGGACACAGCAGGCCACGAAGCTCAGGTCAGCATGACTGGAGCACAGTGTCCTAGCGAATGGTGTGCGTCTGTGCTGAAGAGAGGTTGTCACGTGGGAGAGGGTCAAACGGGAAAGACGCGGGCAGGTCACAAGAGGGCTGTGTGCCACGGTGAGGAGTTCGAACTTTGTCTTGGGAGCCATGAGGAGGCTGCAAAGGCTTCTGAAGAGGAGATCGGCATGTCCAGTTTGTGTTTTGAAATATTGTATTGGCCGCAGTTTGGAGAGAGGATTGGAGGAGGGTTACCCTAGAGCCCAGCGGGGGAGAAGTAGTAAATTTGAGGTGCTGGTCGTGAGTGTCTAAGGCTGGAGAGTTTGAAAACCACGAAATTTATATTTCAGGCCCTGTGCGTTACGCCACTTTAATTTTCCTTGGGGCATGATGGTTAGGAACCAAGGGTGAACATTGTGTGGGAAATGCATGAAGGACTCAAAATACTGTTATTTTCTTCAGAACTCTTTGTTGCTTGAAGCTGTGTGGCATCTTCATGTACAAAACATCGTGAGCCTACAGGAGCTGGTGGAAAGGTAATGATGATTCTATTATTACAATAGTGCGTGATTATTTTTGCAATCTAGTCTAAGACAAATTATGTTTCAAAGCCAAAAATCACTTCAAGAAGCTATTGCTATATTACTTAAAGAGAACATTTGTTGTAACTGAAGTGCTTATCATGCATATTTTCTTTGTATAAGATACATTTTGTGATAATATGTTTAAAAACTAGAAAAAAAGGCATCCATGCAAATATGGTTGATAGAAAACATGTAGAATAGACTACTTTTATTCCTTCCTGAAATCTCGTTAGGAGTCAGAAAAGGAACTTTATGAATGCTATAAGCCTGTAAAGATGGACCAGTGTAGGAAAGGAGGTAACAGAAACACAGTTTTGGAGACAGGAAGCATACGGACCAGTCATAAGTGCCTTAGCCAACTTAGGAGACCCGTCCTGGGCCACCAGTTTGGGAAGACGAGAGCCAGGCCAGTGTTTCCTCTTTATTCCTGAAGGTGTAGGGGGAAAGGCTCAACAGCACTGATTAAAGTGTAGATAAGAAGTATCTGGAACCTCAGACTGCATCCTGTGCTTCTCCCTCAGCCCAGCACAAGGCTGGAGGTTTGTGTGGTTCTTCCCTGGTGTAGTTTGGGGGACTGTGGAGCAGTTGAAAATGCCATGCTGGGCAGTGGTGTGACGCCAGCTCACGTCAGGAATAAAAACACTCGATCTTTTCCATGTACCAGAAAAATTCTAGATGAATCCCTGGAAGAGAAAAAAAGAAAATATAAAAGGACAAGAAGAAATCATAGAAGAATATTTTTATAATCTTAAAGTAGGAAGGCCTAAATATGACATAAAGTCCAGAGGCTATGGAAGATTAATAAACTTAACTGCGTGACAGACACACTTCTTAACATATACACACCTAATGTCAGCTCTAAAATCTATGAAGGAAAAACGGGCAGAATTAAAGGGAGAAATAGACATTTCAACAGTAATCATTAGAGATTCCAATTCCCCCTTCATTAATGGATAAAACAAGCAGATTAGCAATGACTTAGAAGGTGTGAGCGCCACAAACCAACCTGGCTGCAGAACACTCCTCTAGTAGTAGCAGAATGCATATTTGTAAGTCCCCAGCATAGAGCGTAAGGTTCAGGCCATCAAACAAGTTGCAATAGGTTTAGAAGGGTTGAAATCATTCAGTATATGTTCTCTAGCCACAAAGTAATTTAATTAGAGTCGACAACAGAGGGAAATTTGGAAAACCCACAATATTTGGAAATCATACAACACACTGTTAAATAATCATTGAGTGAAAGAAGTCCCAGGGAAATTAGAAAATACCTTGAGACAATTGAAAATGAAAAGATTATACCAACATTTATAGGATGCAGCTAAAGAAATGCTTAAAGGGCAATTTGTAACTGTGAAAGCCTATATTTTAAAAAAAGAATGATCTCAAATCAACAACCTGAGCTTTGACTTTTTTTTTTTTTTTTGAGACAGAGTCTCACTCTGTTGCCCAGGCTAGAGTGAGTGCCGTGGCGTCAGCCTAGCTCACAGCAACCTCTGACTCGTGGGCTCAAGCGATCCTCCTGCCTCAGCCTCCCAAGTAGCTGGGACTACAGGCATGCGCCACCATGCCCGGCTAATTTTTTTTTCTATATATTTTTAGCTGTCCAGTTAATTTCTTTCTATTTTTGGTAGAGAGGGGGTCTCGCTCTTGCTCAGGCTGGTCTCGAACTCCTGAGCTCAAACAATCCGCCCGCCTCGGCCTCCCAGAGAGCTAGGATTACAGGCGTGAGCCACCGCGCCCGGCCCTGAGCTTTGACTTTTAAAAACTTGAGAAAGAAGAGCGAACTAAATCCTAAGCAAGCAAAAGGAAAGAAATAATAAGGACTAGAATAGAAGTCAGTGAATTAGAATATGTAAAAACAATAGAGAAAAATCAGTGAAAAAAAATTGGCTCTTTGAAAAGATTAAAAAAATTGATAAACCTTTAGCAATACTGACAAGAAAAAAAAAGACAAATGACCAAAGGGTCAGGAATGAGAGAAGGGACATCACTGCTGACCTCGCAGAGATTAAACACATTGTAAGGGAATACCATAAACAATGTTTATGCCAGCAAATTAGAGAACAGATAAATGGACAAATTTCTGCAAAGATGCAAATGACAGAAATTGACTTAAAAGGAAAATCTAAAATTACTAACTTAAAATCTTCCCACATAGAGCATCCCAGCCTCAGATGATTTCACTGGGGAATAATGCTGTTTCTTCACACATTCTTCTGGAAACAAAGGAGGGAACACTTTGCAACTTATTCCATGCATTGTATTACCCTGATACTAAAGCCAGGCAAAGGTAACAAGAAAAATACGATCAGCATCTCTAAGGAGTGTAGATGCAGGGATATTAGCAGACTGAATCCAGAAACACAGGAAAGGACTATACACGCACCTTGACAAAGTGAGACTTATCCCAGAAACACATGGTTGCTTTGACATCTGAAGATCAGTTAATGTATCATATTAATGGAATAAAGGGCTTGAGTGATTCTCTCAATAGATGCAGAAAAAGCAGTTGACAAAATCCAACACTCTGCTGATGAGACTCAACAAAGTAGGGGTCAGAGGAACTTCAACTTGCAAAGACGTCTGTAAAAAGCCCACAGCTAACACCATCCTTTGTGGTTAAAAAGTGAAAGGTTTTCCCTAAGATCAGGAGCAAGGAAGGGTGTCCTTTCCTGCCACTTCTGTTCAGCATTGTGCTGGAGGTTCTAGCTGGGACAATTAGGCAGAAGCAATAAAAAGCGTCTATATTGGAAAGGAAGGACTAACGCTGTCTCTGTTTGTGGATGAGATGATCTTGTGTGTAGGAAATCCTAAGGAATCCACACAAAAAGTATTAGAGCTAAGAAATGAGTTGAGCACGGTTACAGGATATAAGACCAATATACAGAAATGGTATTTTTATATAGTGACGATGAAAAGTTAATTTAGAAAACAATAAAATTTTAAAGAGCATCAAGAATAAACTAGAAATAAAGAAGTACAAAACTTGTACACTGAAAACTATAAAACGTTATTGAAAGAAATTAAGACCTAAATAATCTTGGTGGGGTGGTTTATACCTGTGTAACATAGCAAGACCCCATTTCTGAAAAAAAGTGAAAAACAAATTAGCTGGATGTTGTGGTGCCTGTAGTCCCAGCTACTTGGAGGCTGAGGGAGGAGGATCGCTTGGGCCCAGCAGCTTGAGGCTGCAGTGCGCTGTGGTGATGCCTCTGCACTCCAGCCCAGTCTCTAACGCAGAAAAAAGAAAGTAAGATCTAAACACATGGAAAGACGACCTGTTTTCGTGGGCAGGAAGACGTAATACAGTGTCACTCCCCAAAGTGATGAGCACATTCAGCGCAGTTACCTCAAAATGCATCGAAAGCCTGAATGCAAGAGCTAAAACCGCAACATGCCTAGAAGAGAGCATGGGGGGAGTCTGCGTGGCCTCAGTACCTTTGATTAGGTGACTTCTTCTTAGATATGACACCGAAAACTCATCCAAAATAAAAACGTGGATCCATTGGGCTTCATTGAATTTTAAAACTTGTATGTCAGAGGATGTGTCCGAGACAGTGGAATACGAGAAATCACTTACACGTCACATGTGTTATGAGAGTCTAGTATTTGGGCCAAGAGCTCTTACAGCTCAATAATACAAAGACAAATGATCCAGTTAAAAATGGACAGAGGGTTTCAATAGGCATTTCTGCGAAGAAAGAGATGGCCGGTAAATGTTCTGTCGGGCACCAGGGAGCCGCAGGCCTGGCGGGCGAGAGCTCCCCCTCACGGGTAGGTGAGGCCACAGGTCACGTGGGTGTCTGCGCGGCTGCACCTTGATGCGAACCTGTGACCTGTAACTGCAGCTGTTTTGTCAAGGGCTATTTTATCATCACCGAACCTTCTTTTCCCCCCATGACAATAGTGAGCGACTCCACATAAGTAAACTACTTGAAAATGATGGTTTTTTATGTCAGTAGCAACCAAGTGGTGCCCCTTCCCTGGGGCAGAAAGGCTTAGACGGTCGCCAGCTCAGCCTCGCTGGCCCAGCTCCCTGGTGAAACGAGAGTTGCTCACGATGGCAGTGGTGGCTCAGGCTGAGCTGTGTGTCTGTCTCCAGCCACTCTGACGTGCAGGCTTTGGGAGTGTGGCTCTTCAAGAACCTGTGTCTTCTGTGCGAGCAGATAGAGGAGTCCTGTCCAGACATGGACATCGCGAGAGCTATGCTTTCTGGTACGTTCCTGGGTAGGATTCATTTTGACCAATGGGCTCGTCTGCTACGAAGGTACGTTGGCGGCAGAACTGCCTCCAGTGACTGCGGGAATCCAGCTTGACAGCATCTCGGTCTGAATCTGTCCTGGTGGGTTTGTATTTGACCTGAGTGGTGTGGAAGTTCCAGTAGCTCAGCCCGTTGGCGCGTGTGTTTCTGCACACCTTTCCCTCAGAGCGGCCCCAGCCGCGTCTGCGGCAGCAGAACCCTGCATTGCCAGTAATCCCCGAGGAGTGATACCTACGATAAAAATCCAACATGGAGTGGAATGGTCGATGCAGGTAGCTTGTTTTTGTTTCACTTTGCAAAAGACACATTCCTTTTTCCTAAAACTTTCTTGGTGGCATGAGCTACTTATGATTCTAGAACTCCTGTAATCTAGTCTTAGGTAAGGTTAAGTTTAAATTAGAGATTAGATAGAAAATCCTTTTAATTTCAGCCCTATTGGTCCTACTCTCTTAAGAAGGGTGAGTGCGTTTCATGCCTCAGGATGTGACGTACCTGGTCCCTCTGTTGCTGGCGTTGGAGATGGCTGGAGACACCATCCCTAGGGCATCCTTGGGAGCCACCTTTGTTTAGGAGAGAAAAATCCTTGCTATAAAGTTGATTCCCCTTTCAGATAGAATGGCAAGAAGAAAAGTCTGGTTGTGTTGGCTGGTTTGGTGAGTGCCGTGTGCTGTGGGGCTCCCTGGGGCCGGGAGCCGTGTCCTGGCAGCTGCCCTGGCCCGGTTAGCCCTCAACCCGTGTGCACACACCCCTCTGAAGGGTGGTCTGTGTGGTTCACAGCTGTTTGGAGACCACATTATATGTAAATACTTGGGTTTCGTGGTTTTTCAGGTCTCGTACAAATGTTTGTTCTGAGCGGATTTCAGAAACACTCAGATCCGAGAAGAACTGTGGAGTCAGAAAAGATGCCCCAGGTAGGAGGAGTAAAGTGAAGAGGTTGGAAATTGGCCTCATTGTAGAAATGGGCCGCACCCTTGAGAGTGGTCTCCAGCCCCATCCCAAGCGTTTTGTACAAATATTTTTACTGATACGTATTTGTATGTGTTTTGGGGGTACATGTCATATTTCGTTACATGCACAGAATGTCTAATGACTAAGGGTATTTGGAACATCCACGACCTCAGTATTTGTCATTTCGTGTGTCAGGAACATTCCAGGTCCCCTCTTCTAGCTACTTTGAAATACAGATACGCTGTGGACTTTAGTCACCCCACTGTGCTGTGGAACCCTAGAACCCACTCCCATCTGACTATATGTTTGTGTCCATTAACCACCCTTTCTTCACCCCACTTCCCACCCTCTAGTGTCTGTCGTTCGACTCTCCCTCCACGAGACCAACTTTCTTTAGCTCCCACGTGAGTGAGAACACGCAGTGTTTGTTTTCTGTGTGTAGCTTATTTCACTTAACATAGTATCCTCCAGTTCCATCTGTGTTACAGCAAATGACGACATTTCTTCTTTCCTTACTTCCATCTTTCTTTCCTTTTTTTTTTTTTTGAGACAGTCTCTTACCCTGTCACCTGGACTAGAGTGCCCTGGCATCAACCTAGCTCACAGCAACCTCAAACTCCTGGACTCAAGTGATCCTCCTGCCTCAGCCTCCCAACTAGCTGGGACTACAGGTGTATACCACCACGCCCGGCTAATTTTTAATTTTGTTTTTTTGTAGAGATGGGGTCTCACTATATTGCCCAGGCTGGTTTCATACCCTTGGCCTCAAGTAATCCTCCTGCCTCAGCCTCCCAAAGTGCTGGGATTACAGGTGTGAGCCACTGCACCTGGCCCCTTTGCCCACTGTTAAGTGAGATTATTTGTTTTTTGTTTTTTTTTTCCTGAGTTGCTTGAGTCCTTTGTATATTCTGGGTATTAGTCCTTCATCAGATGAATGGTTTGCAGATACCGTCTCTTCACTCTGCTGATGGTTTCCTTTGCTTTCCAGAAGCTTTTTAGTTTACTGTAGTCCCATTCATCTATTTTTATCTTTGTTGCCTCATGTCCTAAAGCGTTGCCCATATGTTTTCTTCTAGTAGTTTTATAGTTTTTGTTCTTACATTTAAGTCTTTAATCCATGTCAAGGTGATTTTTGTACATGGGGGGAGAGAGAGAGAGATCCAGTTTCATTCTGCACATGGATATCCAGTTTTCCCAGCATCCTTTACTGAAGAGTCTATTTTCCCCAGTGAGTATTCTTGGAGCCTTTGTCAAAAATCAGTTGGTTAGGCTGGGCGTGGTAGCTCACACCTGTAATCCCAGCACTCTGGGAGGCTGAGGCAGGAGGATGGCTTGAGCCCAGGAGTTCAAGGCTGCAGTGAGCTGTGATTATGCCGCTGCATGTCAACAACCACAACAAAAAATCTCTTCGCTGTAAATATGTGGGTTTATTTCTGGTTTCTCTGTTCTTTTATGCCAGTGCCGTACTGTCTTCGTTACTGCGGTCAGGTAGTGTGATGCCTCCGCTTTGCTGTTTTAGCTCAGGGTTGCTTCGGCTATTCAGGCTCCTTTTCGGTTCCATAGTTCAGGTTTGCAGATTTCAGTAGCGTTGGGGGCACTTAAGAAGTCTGGATGGATGTGGTGCCTTCTGGGGATGGAACTTGGACATTGATCCACTGTCCAGAAATACTTAGGCATTATTTTTGATGGACTGTTAGGGAATTTTAGGATTGTTTTTTCTATTTCTGTGAAAAATGACGTTAGTATTTTGATGGGGATTGCGTTGAATCTGTAGATTGCTCTGGGTAGCACGTTCCAAGTTTTCGTTCCCTTTTGGAAGTTCCTGAACCACAGCCTAACATTTTGCCACACACCCCAGGCTGTAAGCATTTTGTGAGGAAATCTACGTTGTTGCAGTCGTGAGGTGCTCTTGGGTTTTATTTCTCCGTAAGTCAGTGGATTGAGGAAGGGAGATGTGCGGGTCGCATCTTCTCACCCAGGTCTTCTAGTCCCAGAGGTCTCGAGGGTGCCGGTCTCAGCACACGGCCCAGGATCCAGGCCCGAGCCTTCCGGCTGGGGAGGGAGAGCTCTGCGCCGCAGTCCAGGCCGAGATGGTGTTGTCAGCAAACCTCTCGTGCCCACAGCTTCCCAAAGGCCTGTCAGAGCCAGTGTCCTGCCCAGCCTCGGGGCTCAGCCTCAGGCCACGCGGGAGCAGTCGTAGGGTGTCACTAGGGAGGATTCCAGAAAGTTCCGTGTCTTCACTGTCTTGGTCTCCTTGGTGCTGGGATAATTTCTAGGTCTAAGAGGAAATTTTAAAAAGTGGACCTCCTTGTAAAGTTAACTTCTTATTTTACTTTAGAATAACAAGTAATTCTCTTGTGTTGTGCGAGCATGTGACTGCCTGAAAATACAAAGTGATGGTGGTTTACGTTCTGTTTTGACAGGTCGCCTTTGACGTGCTGCAAAGGATGCTGACCTGTGAGTCGATCGCTCTGGCCAGGTTGCTCATGGCCGTTCTAGCAGTTTCTTGCCTTTCCATTCGAAGTGTTTTGCCCACCTGCCTCACTGTGCGGATTCTACGCTCCGCTCTGTCCTGCCTGTCAGATCCTAGTGGCTTCAGATTTAACATGCAGAGCAGCGATGTGGAGGGACAGCATTTTAATCTGTGGTTAGCGGGGAAGTGTTTTGTTCTGTCTACGTGTTTTGATTAGCTTTAAAGGCTTACGGATTTCAGTAGCGCTGAGGACACTTAGAAGTCTTGATGAACGTGGTGCCTTCTGGGGATGTGATTTGGAAATTGTCCAGAAATACTTTGTTAGGGATTGTTTTCGATGGACGTGTGCTGATGTCGTTTTCTGTTCCCGGCTTCTGTCATCAGTTGCCCTGGATGCTCTGGCTGCCGGCGCACAGGATGGGTCCCCCTCGCACAAGGCGGTGACGTGCTGGTATGTCCCGGGGCAGGACTGCCTGGGGTGCACGGGAGGTTGTTCCTGCTACTTGAGAGACCCAGCGTACTTTAAACACTTCCAGAGTGTCGACAGCTGCCTCCTGAGCATTTTCTCTGCCGTTTGTGGTAATGTCAGGAGCAGTCAGCCGCTGGGAACCCTGGGAGCGTGTTCCGCTCAGCCTCCTCCCTCTGCAGATGAAGTGGGGTGCCGGGCACCCCTTCCTGGGCTATCCTGTCTGCTTCTGCAATTCCTGCACTTCTGGTCCCAGGAATGGGACCCTGAGAGTCATTGCAAACCTTCCTCCCACTGAGTGTACCCAGGTGGCTCCTCCCTCACCCTCCCCACATTTGATCTGGGTGCTGTGGCCTCCCTCCCTCCCTGCTTCATTCCTGCCCTCTTGGCCCACCTTTCTGGAACACACGGCAGTCACGCGTCTTCCCAGTTAGCCGCCGCCTGCGTAGATTCTACGGTGGTTGTGGTTTTGCCACCTTTGTTTCTCTCCCGATAGCTCTGTGGAGGTGCCTGTGGACCTATCTGTGGATGGGAAGGCGGGAGGGGAGGCATCAGGGCTCGGGGAAAGGTGGGGTTTTGGGGAAGGCGGGTGCTGGGGTTTTCTTATAACGAAGGTGGGTGGGAACCTCGAAGTCCAGTCCTGGAGCCAGGAGAATCCCCGCCGTTCCCAAGCCTTTCCAGTCTTCTCATTCCCTACTTATCTTCACCTCCTTTCCTGTCCTCCACAACTACTTCAGTAGCGCTCCATTAACCATCTTGTACAGTTCAGTCCTTTTATTAAAGCAGTGTGTAAAATACCGCATTGTTCTCCGAATCTTTGCGTGTGCATCAGTCAGCTCAGCTGCTGGAGCGAAGTACTAAAGTCTGTGGCTTGTGAAGCAGATGATTCTCGCAGCTGTGGAGGCTGGAAGTTGGGAGGTTGGGCTGCTGTGGCGGGTTCTGGTGAGGGCCTCCTTTCGGCTTGCAGAAGGCTGCCTTTCCCTGCGTGTACGTGTGTGGAGAGGGGCAACAGCTCTGTGATGTCTCTTCTTACAAGGGCAGTGACCTCACCATGGAAGCCCCACCGCCACACACTCACCTAACCCTAGTCACTGCCCCACCCCCAGATACCATTACATCGGGAATCAGGGCGCCAGCGTGGGGATTTTTGAGGACACAGTTCAGCGTGTAGCAGGGTGCTTGTTTTTGTAATCTACGTAACCAGGTTGCTCCAACTCCCTTTCCAGAGAAGCTCTTTCTGCTGCGTTTGCAGGTTCGGTGTGTTCAGTGGACACACGTGTCGCGGCATAACATGCACAGATTCTCCCAAGAGGTTTTTCAGTCACACTCTGACTCAGGTCCTCACGCACAACCCTGTGCTGAAAGGTAGGTCCTGGTGCTGAAGCCGTGGAACTGCTACCCAGTTTGGACTGTTTTCCCCTGTTGCCACGGTGCTGCTCGAACGGGGAGAGGCCAGGGGCTCTCGGCAGCTCTTTCGGCTCTGTACTCAACCGGAGCTTGGCCTCAAAGCATGTGGACAAGATTTGAGGATCTAAGATGCTTTGGTCATGAAGGACACTTGATTACAAAATGTCCTTTCATTTGAGAGGGACACGTTCTTACGAGAAAATCCAGAAGTAAAGAAGAGGAGATAGAATAGTCACCAAAATAGAACTATCTTTAACATTTAACATTTCTGCTGGCCTTTTCTCCCATCCAAGTACTGACCAGGCCCGACCCCGCTTAGCTTCTGAGGCCAGATGAGATCGGGGTGTTCAGGGTGATATGGCCATAGACTCTTCTGACCTTTTTCTAAACAGATTTTTTAAAAACATGGTTATTATACTGTCAATACCGTGATTCTGTTTTAATGTCGTTATATCATAAGCATTTTCTGATGCAGTTATGTGGGTTTCTTGCAAGTGTTTAATGGGTCATCTGCCCGTGGGTGTCCTGTTACCGTGTCTGTGACAGACTTTTCCCAAGTCTTCGCTGTCCGCTGACTGAGCTTTCTATGTCTTGTCCCGTGTCCCAGGGCAGGTGATCGGGCGGGAGTCAGGGTGGGGACAACGCACAAACACAGGAGATGCCCACGGTTGCTGTGAGGTGCTTCCCAAAGGGCTCAGCACCTGCTCTAAGCCGTGTCCTGTGAGTAGCATCCTCACCGTGGTTGGTTTATTGACAGTTTAAAGCTTAAAAGCAGCAGAATTAAAATGCAGTTGATACACTGGAAGTATTTATAGGGAGTAGGACAAAGTATTACCAGTAAGTAAGTAGGCCACAGGCACAGAGAGTTGATAATGTAGAAAATAGACAACAAACAGGGAAATGGTGTACTTACTAGTAATTAAAGAAAATACAAAGTAAAACAAAATAGTTTTTTTCACATTGAAGCTTTAAGGCACAACTTTGTGATCACTGACGTGAAATCTGTGTTTCTCCTCCTGCAGTGTCTGATGCCGTCCAGATGCAGAGAGACTGGAGCTTTGCGCGGACCCACCCTCTGCTCAGCACTTTGTACCGCAGGGTGAGTGTGCGGACCTGCTGCCGCGCTCACGTCGGGGATCTAAATCTGACGGGCCAGATCCTTGTCCAGCTGACTCCCAGGGACGCCACGTGGGCAGTCTGGAGTCTGGGTGAGCCGTGGCTGTGCACGTGGGCGGAGCCCTCCCTGAGATGAGGGTTCTCCAGCCGGTACTGACACCACGGACGGGAGAGAAGTTAAAACATCTTCACAGCAGCTGTGCTGCATCCGGCCACCTCGCAATCCTTCCCAGGGGAGGTGGGAGGTGGCTACGGTGGGCCAGGACTCGCGGGAGGCAAGGGACTGGCTTCTGGCTGGTGTTGGTTTGCTGCGACGTTAAGGGAGTGGGCACTTGTGTTTCAGCTCTTTGTGATGTTGAGTCCAGAGGAGTTGGTTGGCCGTTTGCAAGAAGTTTTGGAAACACAGGAGGTCAACTGGCAGCGTGTGCTGTCCTGCGTGTCCACACTGGTCGTCTGCATCCCAGAAGCACAGCAGCTGGTCAGCGGTGCGTCCGCATGAGCCGGGTGGTGCTGGTCAGGGTGTGGTGGGTGTGTGGCCTGTGCCCTGGGGGCGGCAGAATCCCAGCGTCTGCGGGGAGGCCTTCCCTGCCTGCCCAGCGCCCGGGGTCCTCCTGTCAACGGAACACCCTCACTCAGGCTCTTCAGCACTGACGGCCGCTCTGAGGTCCGGAGTGTGCGCTGCTTCTTCAGGGTCTCCCGTAGCTGTGCTTGTCCTTTGAGAGTCGGCGCTTGGGCAAGAGCAAGCACGTTCTCCCAGTGGGGCACTTGGTATTTCATTTCCACCTGGCGTCCGAGTTCAGCCGTGGCTGGTCCTGGCTCTCACCTAGGTTGGGTGGCCCGTCTGATGGCGCATGCGTTCGAGAGCTACCACCTGGACAGCCTGGTCACCGCGTTCCTGATCGTGCGCCAGGCTGCTCTGGAGGGCCCCTCTGTGTTCCCGTCGTATGCAGACTGGTTCAAGGTGAGCTACCTGGCCAGCCTTTCACCTCAGCTACTGATCCTCAGCAGGCCTGGAGTAGGAGCCTGGGGTCTCCTGTCCGATGCTCTGTGCTGTGAGGACGCACGGGCTTGAGGAGAGAGCTCGAGGCAGTGTCCCTGGACAGACCTTCCATGTGCGTCTCTGAAGAAAGCTTTCTTCCACCTGGCTCTTTTATTCCTCAGAGTTCCTTCTCATTTGACCTTAGTCTCCCCCAGCTCTGCCCAGTTGGCCTGGGGCTCCCAGTAAGTGCAGATGTGAGTGGCTGCTCTGTCCGCAGTGAGGTGCGGGGAGGTTTATGGCAGAATCTACGTACCACCCTGGACCACGTGTTTATACACGTCCGGCCTGGTTTCCTGGCGTTTGCGTACTCGACCTGCTGGCAGGGACTTTGCTCTCTGGACTGCAGCAGTCCACCAGGTAGTGGGGGTCTCAGGCCACGTATCTCCCGGGGTTCACATCTTCCAAGGTGACAGAGGGCTGGGAGAGGAGCATTTCTGGAGTGCTATGTTGAGGGGGTGTTTTGGTTTTGCTTGCTTTTCCTCTCACCTTTTGAAATCAGCTTTATCAAGGTATAATTTAAATCAAATGCACCCAACGGAAGTGTACAGTGGATGAGTTTTATAGATGTATACATGCGTGATCAACGTTTGAACATCTGTTTTAACCTTTATCGTTAAGAAACATTAATATGTTAATAAACCAAATGGTTGCTAATTTGAGCCCTCCAGGTTGTTAATAATATGTCTTAGCAGATCACATTGTGTGGTTAGCGTATTTTTTTTAATCACGGAAAGAACTGCCTTTTTGCTGGAGAGACATTACACCTGAGTGCTGTGACCACGCCCTGGCCTGTGTGTCACTGCAGACACTTCACCTGAGTGCATTCGATAAAGCGTGGGTCTCCGACGCCGACACAGGTGCATCCCCGCTGCAGCCAGCGTCAGCAAGGCTCACTTTCAGTTGAGTGATGGACAGTTCAGCGTGGAGGGGACTGCGGCCCCTTGTACCTGGTGGAGAACTTAGGTGGGGGCTGGGTGGTCATGTGTTGGGGGAGGGGAACCCCTGGTGCAGTCTCGCGTTTTATTTAAATCTCTAAGTGACAGGCATTGAGCCGTTTTCCGGGCATGTGGCACATAGTTGATGTCTGAGCTTTGCTCCTCTAGCATCCTCTCTCAGAGACACATTACCAATGTCACCAGCATTTCCCCCTTTCCCTCTCATGGCTAACACCTGTCTGCATGATAACGTTCGGCAGATTTTGGCAGAACGTTGTACGCTTTGAAAAAGACCGAGGTGGCCCTCGGTGCACGGTGCAGTTCAGCTTTTCACAATGAACGGTCACCTCACGAGGCTGTGGGAGCGTGCCGCGCAGGACGTGGTCGGGGGCAGGGGTCTGCATGGTCTGGGGCTGAGTCACTGGGTTCTCCTGTAGGTACAGGTTCCTTTGTGGTGTATTTGGGGCCACGATCGTTTAAATCCTCCTTCTGGCCCGGACCCCCATGGTCTGCAGCAGCGTGGATGCTCCCTCTGCCCCTGAGGGGTTTCCTTGGGGTTTGCTGTTGCTCCACACCTGTTCTGTTGCAATCTTGGGGTTTCCACCTGCTGAGGGGCGACTGCCCTCGGCCTGTTCCTGCAGCTGCCTCTGCTGCAGGAGGAGTTTGGAGATGAGGGTGTCTCCATGGGACGCGGGAGCTCGTTTGCTAAGTGAAGAGCTCTTGCCAGGGCATTCAGCGCATGGCGCCCCCAAGGATCTGAGCGCCATAGTTACGGTTTTCTACAGGAGATTATTTTTACTTTCTTCCTTTGAATAAACTTTCAGCTCGTCTCATCAAAGCACAGCCATGACATCTTTAAATGTATGAAACAAAATCACTTTTGGTCATTTTTCTCTTTCACAGTAGCAATTTCCTATTGATGAGATGGGCTGGTGTGGCAGCCCAGACCCTGCCCGGCTATCCCAGCCTCACGCCCCTTTCTCCACAGGCCTCCTTTGGGAGCACACATGGCCACCACGGCTGCAGCAAGAAGGCGCTGGTCTTCCTCTTCAAGTTCCTGTCGGACCTTGTGCCCTTTGAGGCCCCCCGGTACATGCAGGTGAGACGTTGCCACAGCACCTGTGGTTCCTGGTGCTCTGCCCGCTTCTCCCTCAGTCCAAGGAACCTCCCTATCAGCCGCCGCCTCTGCTCTGAGCCCCAGCCGGGCCCCTGCCCTTCCCCACGCAGTTCACGGGGACACGGCACGAACGCCACAGCTAGGGACAGCGGCGTGGACATGCAGTGTGAGTGCGGGCGTGTGACGGCAGGTGCCCAGCACTGGCTGCATGTCATGCCGGGGTCTGCCCTGCACAGATGTATTGGCAGCCGTCCAAAAGAGGGACACGTCTGCGTGGTGCTATGGAAACACCTTCTGGCACCCGGTTCTGCAGGAAGAGCAAGTCTTGTGGCACTGAGTGTAATAGGGTTTCATTTTTGCCTCTAAAAAATATTTTTTCATATTCTAGGGAACAGTCTGGAAAGATATACTCCCAAACTGTCATCACTTCTGGGAGTGGAAGAAAAGAAATAGGACTTTCCATTAGTACAGTCTGAGGTGTTTTTTGTTTTGTTGGTTTTTTTAGATGGGGTCTTGCTCTGTTGCCCAGGCTAGAGTGCAGTGGTGTTGTCACAGCTCCCTGCAGCCTCCAACTCTAGGCTCCTCCACCTCAGCCTCCTGAGTAGCTGGGACCACAGGTGCTGCCAGCACACCTGGCCCAGTTTGAGGTTTTTTATGAGTGTATTAATTTCATGATTAAAAAATGCCTTACTGTGGCTTTTTTTTTTAATCAGATAACTATTCCTAGCATTCATTATCGGGGGTGGAGGACCTGGAAACTGATTCTCACCCTCTTTTTTTATTAAGAAATTTGCATTACATTCCAGGGAGTGTGTACAAAGAGTGAAGTTGTGTACCTGTCACCAGGCCGGGGGCTGGAGCTGGCCCCTTCCCCCATCTCCCTGGGCGCCATTGTGTTTTTGGCTATAGTTAGTCCTTTAAGACAAAAAGATGCGTCTGGCGGGAGTGTCGGGTGCCTGTCCTGTCCTGAGCCTCTGAGTGTCACAGCCTCCCACACCCGAGGAGGGAGGGGAGATGGTTCCCAGGAGGGCGAGGGTTTGGTCACCACGGGGTCTGGCCTGGGCCCTCTTCCCGGCCTGGCGCACCTGTGAAGGGAGAGTGGCGGAAACAGAGTCCAGCACGTGGAGACCCCCGCAGCTTCTGCCCTGGCTGTCCTCGGCTAATTGCCCGACTTTCCCGTCCCCTGTGCTCGCACCCTGCTCTGCGGCTCCGCGGCCTGGCGTTGACATGCACGGGCCGTTGCCTCACTTGCCACCTGCTGCTGGTTCCTTGTGAACTCACACTCGGTGTGTCCGTAGCACCCGAGCGTCCTCTCCAAAGTGCACTTTTTTGGTCATTGATTCTGTCCTTCTCCCAGCGTCACAGATTTGGAATCAGTGCTGACTCCTTTCTGTGCTGGCCGGGGCAGGGCTGCAGGTGTGTCTGGCGGTGCCTGCCTGCTGGATCTGGGATTCCATGTCCGCTTGCAGGACCAACCGTGTTAGGGTTCCTTAAGTTTTTGCCTGGGGAAGCAGCCTTCTCTTGTTGTGGGGTTGAATTCTGCTAAATGTTTACTGGGCAAAGGACTGTGTGTCTCCACTCAGCGTTGTTTAGGTCCTGGAAGTGAGCGGTTGCCCCCGACGGCGTGTGTACCCACGTCCACGCTCTGCTGTCTGTCCTCAGGTGCACATCCTCCACCCACCCCTGGTTCCAGACAAGTACCGCTCCCTCCTCACGGACTACGTCGCTCTGGCCAAGACGCGCCTGGCCGACCTCAAGGCAAGTCCACGGCCTCCACGCCTGCTCCTGAGACCTGTCCCGGCAGAGACCAGCGTCTTCATTTTCATGTTCTTGTTCCGTCTCTTCTCTGAAGGTGTCTATGGAAAACATGGGGCTCTATGAGGACGTGTCATCAGCTGGGGACGTTCCGGAGGTAATGCCCTGAGGCCACCCTGCGGGGCCTCAGTCGTGCTCAGTGCTCACCAGGCGCGGGTCCAGTCCTCCCTGACTCGGTGGAGCATTCCAGCCTGGGTGCCGTCACGCAAAAGTGCGGGAGGTGTTTTGTTCTGAGATATCCTACCCTGCGTGTGTCCCCCTGGGGGGAAGCACCTGGTGCAGTCAGCTGGTCCTTTTAGGAGGTCCGTGTACGTGGGGTTGAATGGAAGAGTTAGTCTGTGTTATTTTCTGGGAATTACAGAAAAGTGTTAACTTTGTAAGCCAAAGGTCAGATGGCCATGTGATGTGTGTACGTCAAGGGTAAAAACCACCTTTTCTAATTTTTAAGACCCTTTTACTTTGAGGTTGTGAATTGCCGAAGACCACTTACGGATGCCGTTAAAGTGTTAGGTGAAAGTGTTTAATGCAGTTTTCCATTGAAAATTCATTGCTGTTCCTAAGTTGCCATTTCATAATCTTTTCAAATCTCAAAAATTAAGTCTCTCCTTTTCCCACCTGGAAATCTTTTTTTTTATTTTTTAATTTTATTTTTTAGAGATGAGGTCTCTATTATACAATGGTGTGATCGTAGCTCACTGCAGCCTTGAGCTCCCAGTTTCAAGCGATCCTCCCACCTTGGTCTCCCGAGTGCGCCACCATGCCTGGCTAATTTTTTGTAAAGATGGGGTCTTGATACATTGCCCAGGCAGGTCTCCCACTCCTGGCCTCAGGCCATCCTGCCTCAGCCTCCCAAAGTGTTGGGAATACAGGCGTGAGATGCCACGCCCAGCCAGTTTGAGCTTTCTCAGGGTAGAAAACAACAAGTATAATCCCTTTTCACGTTTTGCTGGCATTTAGGGAATTTGCATGTATGTCCCAGATCCTTGCTGTGTGTCGACCGTGTCAGCCTTTGCCTCTGATTTGTGCAGAGAATCGTTGCAACAAGGAAGAGGCTGGTGCTGGCCTTATCTGCTCCCTTTCTTTTTTAAACCTTCTGTTCTTTCTCCCCCACTCCTCCCTGTGTGGGAACCAGCCCCACAACCAAGCGCCCCAGGATGTTGAAAAGGCCGTCGCGGTGTTTGAACACACGGGCAGGATCCCAGTCACCGTCATGGAGGCCAGGTAGGGTTGGGCTGTCCAGAGTGCAGCTGGTGGCTGCAGCACATCCAGGTCCACTGTGACGGCTGTCATTGTGGGGGCTCTTTTGAGCGTGTCCTGTGTCCTTAGCCACGTAATGAGGGTGGTCACTGTCTGTTCATGGCGAGGCAGGAGTTGGGGGCGAAAAGGTCACAGCAAAGACCCTGCCCTCAGGGGGCACAGAGTGACATGGAGAGCTGTGCTCTTGCTGGGAAACATGTTTTCTTCTGTAAAAGCATGCGGTGCCCCTCCTACCCTGAAACAGCTGACAGGTGGTATTGCCTGGGGAGCCTGCACCGTGGGAGGTTATTGGGCTCACAGTTTGGTAACAGTGATTTTTTTTG